TTCCTACCATTAACTTGCTGACGGATAATGAATCAGAGGAAAGTGGTAGTGACGTCAGAAATATCAATAATGTTAATGATGCTACAAGTCCACCTATTAATTTAAGTTCCGATGAATTCGATTTAAGCGATAGTTCAGTCTTATATGTGTCAAGTGAGCATAGTCCTCCGAATATCATTTCATTAGAGACTGATTCAAACTCGAATTGTGGCAGTCAAAAATAAAAATCGGTGCAGAATAATGATTTTTATTTATTTTTATTTTATTTATTTATTTTTATTTTATTTATTTATTTTTATTTATCTAATTTTTATTTATACTTAGATTTATATTGCCAAATTATAATTAAATATATATTAAAAATTTTGTATAATAAAATTTCATATTGCGTATAAAATACGCAATTTATTTTAAAATTAAAAAAAAAATTTATTTCAATTTCTAAATTAAAGCAGCATATGATATATCACCCTGTGTTTACTTATCCGGCAATATGAAGCCTACGGATAATTAGTAAAACAGCTGTTTTCATCGTCTCAAATCTAAATAAACTCGCAAAATGTTTGGAAACATTAAGAAAAAATTAAGTAATGCTTTACAAGAAGGATTCGTTATATCTGAAAGCCTTCAGCAGCACTATAGACGCGTTAGTACTCCATCGACACCAGTATCGCCTAATTTTGAGGACCGCTTCAATAGTGATCGGTCTTCTTTAAGGAGTTCTAGCACCACTGAAGATTTGGTGGACGCAGTTCCTTCAAATGTTAATGTTGCAGCAGGCTGTAATTTACTTGCCAAATATGAAGATGACTGGGTATCAATTAATAAAATGAGCGAAGAAAATGCGAGAAGAGCTGACCAAATTGCTACCGAAATTGATAAAATCAAACAGAAAACCATGGAACAACGTGTAGTGATGACTGATCTCATTACGTGTCTGTCTGGAATACCAGGGCTTATAGTAAAATTAGAAAATAGTAAGAAAACATTGCAGGACATAACAGAGTTTGCAACAAGAGTGGAAAGAGAAACGGATGTGTTACAGAATTTATGTGAAGAGTGCGAAATGCAGGAGTTTATTTTACAAAAGCAGTTTGAATTATCACAATATAAACAGAAGAAAATGGGTACATAAGTCCGTTTTTTAAATTTGATCAATTAAATAATTTTATATTTAAAGGAGAATTAGAAGTTTATCGCCAAAAAGTTGCGGCTGAACATCAAGGAAAAATAAGACAGCATGAGGAACACTTGAAGCAAATTCAACGGGAGCGTCAAGCAGTTTTCGACGATGCGTTCCGTGGAGACGTAGAGGAGTTTAAGCAGAAAGGCGTTATAACAAGTAAATGCAATGGTTTAACGATATTAAAGATATATATGTTATAAATAATTATGTTGAGCCCTTTCTGAGTGAGTGCTTTTGGACACTCACTACTCTTTGATTTTACTCCTTGTATTCCTCATAAGCTTCGTGATTATTCAATGACTGATTTAAGATCTGCGTACCGCCCCGTGCGGTTAGTGATTACTCTGAGATTAGATAGTGATAAGTAGGGTAGGTTGTCGGTTTTCCCATATAGCTTCAGGGCTCTGTCCCTTATGTATTTTTTGATCGGATCTTTTCTAGGTCTATTCTCTTAGCATGTCATTCGGGCGGATGTACCATGGCACTATGAAGAGTCTTTGCAATGCCTGACTTTGAGCAAGTGCTAGTAGGGCAGCCTGTCGGTTTTCGCATATAGCTTCAGGGCTCTGGACATCCCAGACCTTATTCGCTTCAATGAAAACTGAATGAAGGTACTGGACTCGTTTCCAGATAATCGTGTGACATACACAGATAAGATGGTAGAAAGTATTACTATGCATCTTACAGAGTCTACAGGTGTTGATGTCATCCGTGTACCATCTTTGAAGATGGTAATTAACGGGTACAAATCCCTTTAAAAAACCAGTAATTAATCTGAGTTTGGATTTGTTTATAAACTGAGGAACCTGAGGAATCGGCATAGAATTTCTTGAATAACTTCTTTTATTTGATTTTCTGAGTAGTACTGATTCAGCACCCTTCTTCGTCAATCTTTCAGGTAATTTATTTCCATCGAAACTTTCATCAACTTGGTTTTGGTTGTTGGGGATATTTTATAGTTGCTGGGCTATTCTAGTATATAATGTGTGGTTTTTGTGTTGCGATTTCTATATATAGAATAGCTATGTTATATCCATGGACACCAGCACCACTTTGTTTTATAATATTGAAAAAAAATTGTAAATGATAAAATGTTTAGATAATTAGTTTATCTAGCCTAAATTTTTGATTTTTTATATTTATTGTTGATTATTTGTTAATTTATTTTATTCTCTTATGTATAGAAATATCTACCGAATCCAAAGCAAAAGTTACGTTAGAAGAAGTAGATTTGCAGGATGAACAAACCAAAGATGCTTTGGAAGAGTTTCTAAATGGATGATTAATGCTTTGACATCAGCTTAGACAGTTAATTTGGGATTTTTTAAAACGGGAACGATTAAAAAGAACAAACCTGCTATTTTTTTTATTGTTATAATACCATATGAAAACATTCTTATTTTATTAAATTTCTTTTGAACTGATTGTAAATGTATGTCAATAATATTCAAATCGTTTTAATTTTTTATTCTTTTATATATTTATTTTTATTGTAAACATTTAAAATTTATTATACCACATTTAATCTTAATATACAGTAAAATTAAATATATATATATTTAAAAATGTCCATAATTAAATTATAACATAAATATAAATGTAAATTATTTTTGATATATATTTATTGCATACATTGTGTATTAGTATACATTGTCTTCATAAGTGATTAAGATTTAAATAACAATGTTTTCTTAAAATAAAAATAGGATAAAAAATATGCTATATAAATATTTTATATTGATAAGTATAGTCAATTATATATATAGCTTTTATTACATTGTTAACATAAAATTTAATGGAATGCAATCTCGAATCGAATTCGGATTTACATAACAATTTCAATGTATGAAATTTTATATATATTTTAAACTTAATTTAAATTTTAAAATTATTTTATATAAAAAAAAAATATCTTTTATAATTTTATAGATAAAAGTTTGTGTTTTAATTGCTAAAAGATATGGAAGCTAATTCTATTATTAAATTGAAATATAAATTTATTTTTGTTTTAGGTAGAGAATACTTTTATATTTTTTTTTATAAGATTATTTAATAATCTTTAAAAAAAATTCATAGTAATAAATTTAAAAAAAATATATATTTAAAGAAATATTTAAAGTGCAATAAAAAAAATATACAAACCATTTTATAAAATTATTATACATTATAATAATAAAGGTATACTATTTGAATAAAATTTTAAAATAATGATTATAAAACATTATTATATTTGTTTTTTCACTAAAATAAACAATTGGTTATTTATAATAAATTCTATATGATATTAAAATAATAAAAATAAAATTCAGTCAATTTTTTTAATATATATTTAAATTTGTGGTTATATGTTTTTAAATAAATGCTTAAATATAAGTGAAAGTGATAATCTTTTTCATCAGTCATAACAAAATTATTTAATATATCTAGCTAACTAGAACTAATTAAAATGGTATTTAATATATAATTTGAACTAAAATGCAGTGATATATTTAGGTAAACGAAAGTGAGAAAGATTAATAAATAATTTTTAAATTAAAAAAAAAATTTTTAAGTACACATATAGTTCATTTTTTATAATTTATTGTGCTAGATAAGTTAAGAATTCAAATAGTATTTTCTAGTTCACTAATTAAAAATTAAAGCTAATTAATTAATCATTATTAGGGTTAATTATTATTGAACTGAATTCATTCGAATTAGTATACGAAAAAATATATTAGATATTACACAGATTCTATAAATATAATATTTTTATTATTCAAGTTAAATTGATTTGTTTTGTACCACTTACATTAACATTATATGTTATATATTTAATATTAATTTAACTTATGCTAATTTTTTATTCTAATTATTGTTTGAACACAAAGAAACCCGTTGGATCCCATTCGCTGTCTTCGTTCGGACCGAAACATTCATCGAAATACCATTCCATAGTTTTATAAGCATGA